AGAGAGAGAGAGAGAGAGAAAGGGACCCGCATTTCAAATGAGAATCCTCATGGGTCATGAAACTAACAAAAAGTTGCACCTAAAATGTTTAGCATATAGTATAAGATTATGCACCCATACAAAATAGCTGGTGTCTCGACCCATCATCTAGCATAAATGTCCTTCAGAAAAATGGAAATAACAAAATTTAGAGAGTAATGGAAGAAAGCCAAACCTGGAAACACCCCAGCAAAACCATCAGCCTTCTCAATGAGTTCATCAATTGGGAGTGCTGAAATAGACTCATCCTTGCTTTCGCCTAACAAAGATGAAGAAGGGTACATATTTGTACCCATGCCCAGCCGACGGCCGGTTTCCTTTGCTATAGCTAATTGGTCACCTGCAAGTATTTCAAGGGTTTCCTTCTTTTATGAGAAATAGCACATATCAATGTTGCATCAGTGAGAATCACTTGTAAATCGTCAAGGTAAGGGTATAGGTAGCTGGAGGAAACAAAAGATAATAGGATCTGCAAACAGGATAGCAAACTGCAGTCAAATGGACTTTGAAAAATCTTGGTTCATTGAGGTCGTCACCATCTCAAAACAAGGTATTGCTAGCTTTTGATGTGTTGATTACAGAAAGAAAGAACACACCTGTGATCATCTTAACGCTGACACCCAGATCAAGGGCTCTCCTGATGGTTTCAGCACTATCATGGCGGGGAGGATCAAATAGAGGAAGAAGGCCAACAAATTCCCAAGGTCCTCCGAGACTTTCTTTGGTGCCCTCAGGTACCTCCTACAAAAAGGAAACAGGAATGCAATATTTAGCATGTTGATAACTTGAAACTGAAAGGTCTACCATGATTGACATAAATAGACATAAGAAGAACACAGAATGACCTGGTAGGCAACACCAAGAGATCGAAGACCGCGCTCAGCAAATTTGTCAATTATGGTGTGAACACGTCGTTCTATCTCTGATTTGTTCCTTGCTAGATTGAGAATCTACATAGCACAAGAGAACAAGATGCAGAAAATATTCAAATTTCTCAGGTTCATGACAAACAATATCTTCTCACTTGTTTAAGATACCACCAATTACAGGCCCCTGTCATGTTAACAATCTAGTGGAGAAAAACTGTAGCTCCTTTGTATGCTAATAGCCTAGCCTTTAAAAACCTGACAATCACGTGATTGCAACCTTGAGCTCTTGTTTTTTTTTTTTGAGAGAAGATAACTTGTAAGGAATTAGTACACAAACAATACCCAGGAAAGGGACTGGGTCTTGGTGGTAGCATCCGCATACCTAGTTACCACATTGTGGTTTCCAATTCTGCCGACAACACCCATTGACACCTTCAAAAAAAACTGACTCCCTAATCTATCAGAAAAAACAGGTAGGGGCCTGTCTTCCCCACTGAATTACCAAAAAAAAAACAAAAAACAGTACCCTAATTACAGATAGGTACATGAAAGGAAATTAGATACAAAATTCTGTGCAAGATTCTTTGCATTCTCAATCTAAGAAATCAAGACTAAAACAGTGTACAAAAAAGGTTTTAGATGCCAAGCCCAGTGGGAGCTGCTGCTCCCTCTTTGCGACCTTGAGCTCATGGGTTCAAACACAGGTTTCCAATTAGAAAAATAAAACTAAACAGAGGTTTCCATAACTTGCAGCAAGCTAATGCCACATAAGGTTTTGTTAGATTAGGACTGACAATATCATGGAGGAAATTCCCAAATGAACCCCAAAATAGTTACAGTGATATCTGCTAGTAAGCCGTAAACAGTTTGAGTCGAGTTGACTCAGGTAATAGTTAAGATTTTGACAGCTACATACAGGACTCTGGCATATACAAAATCATTTCCTTTGCTTATCGACTGCTTTCAAAAATAAGCTTTCACTAGATGGATCTTTCAGATTGAATCATTCACTGAGCACACAGCTCAACTGGTACGCTTATAGAATTCATGTAAGAGATAGTAAATACCTGTTCAGGCGCACCTTTGCTCACTCTATGCATTTTACCCACTTTGTCTAAGTAAGTTAGTGCAGTTCTTTTGTCCGTAGGGTTGAACGGAAGAAAATGAACTTCTCGAACACCAGCTCGTGCCTTTCACCAAATGATATGAAAAGTCATTAAGGTCTCCAAGCAAAGAAAAGACAACATCAGAGCACAAGATGCAGAATTTCAACATGCACTGATGTCAAAAGACAAGAAATTGAAGTACACACCACTAGAGCAAACATAACTTGTCTGTATCCAAAACCACCTTAATATGGCTTTACATCTATAGAGTTATATATTTAATCATTGGAAGGATGAATAGTAGCTACCTCCTTAGGATCAGAAAGCATTGCTACAATTGCAGCATCAATGGCATCTTGATTTTCTGTCCTTGAGGCCCTTGCAGCCATCAATACAACTGTGTCCTTGTCTATACCTTTTGCAAACACCTGGAACAAATGGACCACATCATACGTACAACGTCACAGTCCAAATACCAATATCTCTTAGAAAAATACATCTGTTTTGTTCTCTGATGTAAGTCATCACTCTCCCATCAAACCGATAGAGAATGACATTAATGATCTTGTGTGATTACTCAACTAGCTATAATTTAGCACATACCCTCGAGTAAATATACATCTTCAAATACAGCAGTTATATGATCCAAGAATATCAATCCAAATAAAGGTTGAGAGATAGGGAAGGGAAAAGGGCATGTGACGACCCTAAAATTTGTGGAATTAAAACATAATATTCATAGTGTCGATAGAAATAAACAATAAATAAATAAATAAATACAATAAAATAAAATAAAACAAAATCCTTACTGGCTAACTTAGATTACAAGCTCTGGTAGTGTTGTGCTTTAACAAAATATTTCCAACCAATTAGTATTATTTTTGGTTAAATTGGTGCTAGTCTACTTTTATAGTGTGGACCTTATGGTCTACACTTCCTTTACACTATGTTTTACTTTAAAAGAGATGTTTACCACCGTACGTGGCAACCCAACAAACTACGTTCATGTAGTTAAGACACCTTTTTATAAAAGGTGTTAACATTTTAAAAGCTCTCTCTCATGCTATACTCTCTCTCTCCCTCTAAAAAGGTATTTTAAATTCAGAAAGTCTCTTTCTTATACCTCTCATCACACTCTTGCTTGCACTGCGGCACCTCATGCTCTCTCTCTCTAGACCTCTCACAATCCCTGCCCTGCCCTGCCTTCTCTCTTTCATAGCATTAAGCTTCATGGCCTTCCCGGTTTGGAGTGAAAACCCAGTAAATAGTTGGGTCACAGAAAATAATGAAGCTAGCATTTGAATACACTACTCATGGCTGCCATTGGGTTTCAGCCATGAGAACAATTTTGCTTTTCTTTTCCAGATTTCAAGAAGATTTGTTATTGGATAGTCAGAGTAGCTTTAAGAGTGAAGGTATCATTTCTTGCGGTTTCATTAATGGTAAATCTATCATCTTGTCTTCTTCCTGGTTATGCACTGTGCCTAGTCCCTGTAATGCCAAGGGGCCTCAAACTGTTACCTATGGTTTCAGAAGCGGAACAAAGACTCTAAAAATGAGAATGGTCTCCGCAATTCCTCTTCTCAAAGTGATACATAAGTAAGTGATCGCATTCTTCTGAAAAATAGTCAGTTTTTAATAAATAGTGATGTTTCCGTCCAGCATCTTCATTTTATAAGCTTTGTGTATAAGTGACCTCATTGTTTTGAAAAATAATCTTTTTAGTAAAATTGTGATATTTTATATATTGTTAGGAATTTTAAATGCTGTAAATTATTAGAAATAAATTTATAATTTTCCTGTCTATCGTTCAGAATTTTAAATACTGTAAATTATTAGAAATAAAGGTGATATTTCCGCTTTTAGTAAAATTATGAGATTTCCTTCTACTGTTTTTGAATATTTAGACATTGTAAAATTCATATGCAAATGTCTGCCTCATTATTTGAAAAACTAATATTTTTGTACTTGATTGTAATATTGCCTATGAAATGATTGTTTACAAATTGGCAATTCCATAAATTGAGATAATTCCGTATTTAATTTTGGATTCTCATAAAAGTTCGTCTATTGATACTAGACTGTTATCATGTTAGATTTCAAGAATGTTCTTCAAAACTGTTACCTTTCAGAAATTATTGCATAAAATGTTTAAATGGCTACTTACAGATATTCAATGGAAGTGATTGTTATTAAATTGCTTCAAGTGAATTCATGTTAATGTTTTCAATGATACTTCGCATATATAATTGCTTTCTGATGTTTAAAGAGTTTCAGAGATAATTTGAGTATAAGTGGACCTGCAATGATCATTAGGACCTATCCGGTTCTGTCGATAGGGACTATTTGGACTCATCCGGGATGCCGGTGAGGTATGATCGGACCTGCAGGGATTATTATGACCTATCCGGTTACGACGGTAGGGACTATTTGGACTCATCCGAGACGCCGGTGATGTATGTTTAGACCTGTAGGGATTGTTTAGACCTATCCGGTAGGGGCTATAAACTCATTCGGTACGCCGGTGAGGTATGTTTGGACCTGCAGGGATTTTTTGGACCCATCAGGACGTTGGTGGGGTATATAGGTGACCTACTTGGGACGTCAGTAGGGTATTTTGTGAAATCCTTTGAATTATGCATTTTTGTTAAAATGTTTATATGCATTTCAATCATTTGGATTATGTTTCACTGTGTATTTGTGAAAGTGCAATTGTTATCTATAAATGCTTTTGCTAACAATTCTTCCTTAGGTGGTTTTTAACATACATTCTTCAGAAAATGTTTATATCTTCCAGCCATGATTATTTTTTATGACCATGATGATTACTTACTGAGTAGCCAAACTCATCAAACTATGGTAAATATTTTTCACGGTAATTGCAGTCTCATAGTTCGAATACAGCAGGACCATCTTTGAAGAATTTGTAGGCATGATTGACATTCCCCTTGTAACTTTTGATCAAATGCACCATTGTAATTTTTGTTCTATCAAGAGATGTATATATCTTGCCCTTCGTGTTAATATCAGTTGTGGGTAGACTTTGTACAAATTAAAAAAAATGGAAAAGTATGTTTTAGTGCGAATATAGTAGTAGATATTTTAAATTTGTTATATATATAGATAGTATAAGAATAGTATGTCGCACCTCAGGAATGTTAGCAAACTTGGGGTGTGACAAAATGGTATCAGAGCAATAGGTTTAGGATCCTAGGAAATCTGAATAGAAATATACCCTAAGTCGTACTTAGCATATGTACAAACAGTTACAAGATTTTGTATGACTGGAGCAAATATGAAAGAAATTCATAAAGCCTTGGAAAATATGGTTGCTCTTATACAACATTAAATGGAGAACACAATCCAGCTAAACAATCAGTTACAGGAAATGATTGGTGTGTTCTTGAACAATTAAAAAAAAAAGAAAAAACCCACTTTCCTTTAAGGATATTGCAACTCCACTAGAAGTCGAAAAATGGGTTAGGCAAATAGATAAAATATTTGAACTAATGAAATGCCCTGATGATAAGAAGGCCACCTTGACAGTCTTTATGTTGGAAAGTGAAACAGAACATTGGTAGCAAATGACAAAAAGACTATTGATCCTAGAAATAAACCCATGCTTTGGGAAGCATTACGAGAGGCATTTAATGAAAAGTACTTCTCAAATTTTATTCAAGATCAAAAGGAAATGGAATTCCTGGAATTAGTCCAAGGATATAGGATGGTAGCACAATATGAAGTCAAATTTACTAAATTGGTCAGGTTTAGTTCACATATGGTCAAGAATGAGGCAAGAAAGGGAAGCTGAATATCAAAAGTTGAGCATCAGTAAAACAAGTGACTCTCAGACGTTGTATCCTAGAAAGATAAAAGTTTGCTAATAAGTATATGAGGTGGCAATGTTTTCTTATTAAGAGAATTGGGCAAGAGAATATGGAAGATATCTGAACAAGAGTATATGTGCCATAGCCATGGCGCAGCGGAGTCGTGGTGGGCCCAAAACCCATAGGTACAAAAATTTAGAGGACTAAATTTCTTTAAGGGAGAAAGAATGTGACGAACCTAAAATTTGTGGAATTAAAACATAATATTCATAGTGTCAATAGAAATAAACAATAAATAAATAAATAAATAAATACAATAAAATAAAACAAAATGCTTACTAGCTAACTTAGATAACAAGCTCTGGTAGTGTTGTGCTTTAACAAAATATTTCCAACCAATTAGTATTATTTTTGGTTAAATTGGTGCTAGTCTACGTTTATAGTGTAGACCTTATGGTCTACACTTCCTTTGCGCTATGTTTTACTTTAAAAGAGATGGTTACCACCTTACGTGGCAACCCAACAAACCACGTTCATGTAATTAAGACACCTTTTATAAAAGGTGTTAACATTTTAAAAGCTCTCTCTCTCATGTTATACTCTCTCTCTCCCTCTAAAAAGGTATTTTAACTTTAGAAAGTCTCTCTCTTATACCTCTCATCACACTCTTGCTTACAGTGCGGCACCTCTCTCTAGACCTCTCACAATCCCTGTCCTGCCCTGCCTTTTCTCTTTCATAACATTAAGCTTCATGGCCTTCCCGGTTTGGAATGAAACCCTGTAAATAGTTGGGTCACAGAGAATAATGAAGCTAGCCTTTGAATACACTACTCATGGCTGCCGTTGGGTTTCAGCCATGAGAACAATTTGGCTCTTCTTTTCCAGATTTCAAGAAGATTTGTTATTGGATAGTCAGAGTAGCTTTAAGAGTGAAGGTATCGTCTTGCGGTTTCATTAATGGCAAATCTATCATGTTGTCTATTTCCTGGTTATGCACTGTGCCTAGTCCCTATAATGCCAAGGGGCCGCGAACTGTTACCTATGGCTTCAGAAACGGAGCAAAGACTCTAAAAATGAAAATGGTCTCCGCAATTCCTCTTCTCAAAGTGATACATAAGTAAGTGATCGCATTCTTCTGAAAAATAGTCAGTTTTTAATAAATAATGATATTTTCGTCCAGCATCTTCATTTTATAAGCTTTGTGTATAAGTGACCTCATTGTTTTGAAAAATAATCTTTTTAGTAAAATTATGATATTTTATCTATTGCTAGGAATTTTGAATGCTGTAAATTATTAGAAATAAATTTATAATTTTCATGTCTATTGTTCAGAATTTTAAATATTGTAAATTATTAGAAATAAAGGTGATATTTCCGCTTTTAGTAAAATTATGAGATTTCCTTCTACTGTTTTTGAATATTTAGACATTGTAAAATTCATATGCAAATGTCTGCCTCATTATTTGAAAAACTGATATTTTTGTACTTGATTGTAGTATTGCCTATGAAATGATTGTTTACAAATTGGCAATTCCATAAATTGAGATAATTCCGTATTTAATTTTGGATTCTCGTAAAAGTTCGTCTATTGATACTAGACTGTTATCATGTTAGATTTCAAGAATGTTCTTCAGAACTGTTACCTTTCAGAAATTATTGCATAAAATGTTTAAATGGCTACTTACAGATATTTCAATGGAAGTGATTGTTATTAAATTGCTTCAAGTGAATTCATGTTAATGTTTTCAATGATACTTCGCATATATAATTGCTTTCTGATGTTTAAAGAGTTTCAGAGATAATTTGAGTATAAGTGGACCTGCAATGATCGTTAGGACCTATCCGGTTCTGTCGGTAGGGGCTATTTGGACGGTAGGGGCTATTTGGACTCATCCGGGATGCCGGTGAGGTATGATCGGACCTGCAGGGATTGTTATGACTTATCCGGTTACAACGGTAGGGACTATTTGGACTCATCCGAGACGCCGGTGATGTATGTTTGGACCTACAGGGATTGTTTAGACCTATCCGGTAGGGGCTATAAACTCATTCGGTACGCCGGTGAGGTATGTTTGGACCTGCAGGGATTGTTTGGACCCATCAGGACGTTGGTGGGGTATATAGGTGACCTACTTGGGACGTCAGTAGGGTATTTTGTGAAATCCTTTGAATTATGCATTTTTGTTAAAATGTTTATATGCATTTCAATCATTTGGATTATGTTTAACTGTGTATTTGTGAAAGAGAAATTGTTATCTATAAATGCTTTTGCTAGCAATTCTTCCTCAGGTGGTTTTTAACATACATTCTTCAAAAAATGTTTATATCTTCCAACCATGATTATTTTTTTAAGACCATGATGATTACTTACTGAGTAGCCAAACTCATCAAACTATGGTAAATATTTTTCAGGGTAATTGCAGTCTCATAGTTCGAATACAGCAGGACTATCTTTGAAGAATTTGTAAGCATGATTTACATTCCCCTTGTAACTTTTGATCAAATGCACCATTGTAATATTTGTTCTATCAAGAGATGTATATATCTTGCCCTTCATGTTAATATCGGTTGTGGGTAGACTTTGTACAGATTAAAAGAAATGGAAAAGTCTGTTTTAGTGCGAATATAGTAGTAGAAATTTTAAATTTGTTATATATATAGATAGTATAAGAATAGTATGTGGCACCTCAAGAATGTTAGTAAACTTGGGGTGTAACAAGGCATTACCTCAATCATATTTTTGTCCACAGTAAGCTTGTTAAGTGTTAAAGTTCCAGTCTTATCACTGCAGAGGACATCCATTCCGGCCATTTCTTCAATGGCAGTCATACGTTTTGTTATGGCACCCTGTGCATTTTCATTTCCAGTAAATAACTAACACACTGAAGAGATTTAAATATGTTCCTCTGGGAATAGTATACATGTATTTCATTTCTACCAACCTGTTGAGATAAGCGATGTGATCCAATAGCCATTGTAACAGAAAGAACAGTGGGCATTGCAATTGGGATTCCACCAATGAGAAGAACCAGAAGGTTATCAATACCAACACGGTACCCTCTCCCTTGAAGCCCATAAATTACAACAATCTCAATAGCCATACCAACCGCAATCGAGCAAATACAGAAATTCCCAATTGCAGTCAAAACCTGGAAGCACCACAAGATAGCAGTCTTGTCTTCATTAAACAAGTGCTCAGAAGAAGTTTCTCTTTCCATGATACAAGAACCAAGAATTGAAGATAGCTTTTGACAGATTTAGTGAATTGACAAAAGATAACCTTTTGAAAATGCCCAACATGTGTTGTAGAGTCCACAAGATGAGCAGCTTTGCCAAAAAATGTGTGAACCCCAGTAGCAATGACAACTGCTTCAATTTCACCTTGCTTGCAGGTCGAACCTGAGTAAACGCCATCACCTGGATTCTTGGTCACTGGCAGTGATTCTCCAGTAAGGGCAGACTGAGAAGCCCAATATAAATTTATTAAACATGGAAGAAGACCATATCAAATACATTTTGACACATTATCCCATATCAACATGTACACTATGGGTCATTGAAATGTCATAACTATTAAAAAGAGGAAACAAGCAATACCCTTTCCACTATAATGTGTAAACAACTAACCTATGTATTTGAAATGCAATGATGATTAAAACAAGAAACTTACCATTCATCTTTTAAGCTATGTGCTGTGACCCAACAGTCAAAGTAACAATGTAACATACAGTGAGCTTCCAGAATTCAAAGTAGGTAATCATACCTGATCAATTTTTAAAGGATCCCCTTCAAGAAGACGAGCATCAGCAGGAACGATATCTCCGAGTTTGATGCTAATTATGTCCCCTGGAACCAACACAGAAGCATCTTCTTCGCTCCATCGTCCATCTCGCAAGACCTGTTGATAACAAAGTAGAAAAAATTCAAAAGAAACAGAAAATCAACATAAAAAAAGTACGATTTAAATAAGATAATTTTATCATCATACAATGCGTATTATTTGACCCACCTTCGCTTTTGGTGCCAACCGTGCCATAAGAGCAGCAGCTGCATTCCCTGCATTGTTTTCTTCAATAAAACTTATAGTGGAGTTGATAACAAGCAATATCACGATTCCACAGAAATCAATATAATCTGGATCCTTGCCCTGCAAAATGGAAATTCAACCCTCATGTAAAGAATGATAAGTGAGCGAAGCTTTAGATAATTGATACATTGCAAGATTAACATGTAAAACTTTGAACAAAACTCTATATAAAAGGTTAGAAACTGAAATCATACCCCTCCATTTGCAAGAGCAATTGCCATGATGGCCGCAGATTCCATGACCCAAGAGAGTGGATTCCACATAAATCCTAAAAATTTTAGGAGTTTGCTCTCCTGTGAAACCAATAATGATTAAGAAAAATCAAGATGGGATAGATAAGAGCATGGTGATGAATATCACTCGCACATAAGAATGTGTAGAAGAGGGAGAGAGCATAGTACAGTACCTTCTTTTCTTCAAGTTTGTTGTATCCAAACAGTTCTAAGCGTTCCTGAACTGCTTCAGAGGTCAGGCCTTCTTGTGTGCATTCAAGACTTTCAAAAACTTCTTCAATGGGAATGTTTTCCTGTGAAACCATTAAATGTTGATCCCCAAACCAAAAATACTTAACGGCTAATCTGTGTATTGAACCCAACAAAGCAATTTTTCAAAGTAGCAGAAGTAGTTAATATGAAGTAACAAACTACCAAAAGTTGAAGAATTAGCACTGCACATGCACGTGCACACACTGGCAAACATGAACAAACAGACAGGAAAGAAGAAGAAAATGAACAAAGCTAAAAACTAATGTCTAAAGAGAAAACCTTTTAACTGGGATGAATTCAAATAAATAGATAATCAGGACTGATGGAATATAGGTATAGTTTGTGGAAGCTTACCAAGTCGACCGCCTCCTTGTTCACAGCATCAAGAGCAATTGATTTTTCATCCATATTGGACTCTTTTAGATTCAACCTACTCCAAAAAGATCCTGGAAAAAAGAAAGGAAAGGAAACAAAATTCTGTAACCTCCAAGACTTCCAAACATCTAAGTTACTATTGAATTATCGTATGCATAACATGTTGTAGAGGGGAAGAAATTAGATATAGAAGGGTGCTTCCTGTTTCAACCTCTCTTCTTTTTTTTTTTTGGTTTGGACAGTGAAAATCCCAAATACCCTCAACATTCGCCCATAGCTCATGCTTCATAAACAAATCTTCATGATACTATTATCCTAATTAAAATTTTAATAGATTAAACAAAACTCTTCTAATTCAAAGGGATTGCATAGCATGAATTCCAGCATAGTATTGTTACTAAGCCACTTATCAATGGTCGAGAATAAAGAACGACAAGAAAAAGGACAAAATGTGAAGAAAAATGATAAGAGAGAGAGAGAGAGAGAGAGAGAGAAGCAAGTAATAACAAAGTAAAAACTAATATTCCCTCAGACACAAAAAATAAAAACTAATATTACCTTCTGCAATTCCTCTTTGCAGTCTCCAAACCACCAGAAACAATTCAAAACTCTCAAAAATGAGCCCAAAGGCCCCTTCAACTCAAATTTCTTCACATTAAATCGTCAAGCCCATTCTCCCCTAAGAAACCTCTCTCTGCATCAATAACCCTTGAAAACCCTAATCAGTATTTCAAGAATCCAAATTCCTTCACAAATGTAGACCTTTACCCATTCTGCATCAAAATTATCGGGGAGACCAGGGGTTCGATCCAAATCGACTCAAACCCTGGATTCCAAGTCGGGGGACTAGAGACAGAAAGAGAAAGCGTATATATAACCTGAAAGAGAATGAGAAACATAATTGTTCATGGATGAAGAAGATTTCAAGGAAAACGGACAAAAGAACAGCAAGGATGGAGGTCGGAACTAAAGCCGAATGAGACATACTCGATGCCTTGGAGACAAATCCACGCCGTTGATGAGAGCGAAAAGTTCCATGGGGAAAATGACAATACCCTAGCGCCTCTGCAAATCCGCCCGGCCTGCAACGGTGAGAGAGAGAGTTGTAGAGAGAGAACGTCAGTGACTAGAGAGAGAAAATTGTAGAGAGAGAAAGTTTTGAATTTCCCCAACATTAAATTATGAGGGACTTGCTTTCATTTAATTAACACAGGCATGTCTGTTTTATTACGGTCCTTACACTTTCTTCCCTCCATGATCGGCCAACATTATTGGACGAGACTCCCTTCTTTTGATACAAAAAGGTCGTAATCATTCTCAACCCTCGGATGTGAAATCGGATGAGTTGTGATAAGCCACTGATTTAGCATAAAGTATGAAATAATTTTTTTTGAAAATTATAATACATTTTACTATGTTAGATTTCGCATTCTATAACTAAAAAAAATTGTTACTTCCTTGTATAAAAAATAAATAGCATCATAGTATACAATTCTTCTTTTTTTTTTTTTTTTTTTTTCTGTTATCCCCTATTCTCTCTAATCCCTTGTTATTAAGTGAGAGTGTGGTTTGTATGAGGCGAGCCCTAAACAATCAAAGTAAGGCACCCTCTCAAATAATATTGAAAAATATTTCACTATAAAAAATCTTTGTAATGATTTCAAAATTATATTTATCTCCAATTATAAAATTTAAAGCTTAAAAAATTAATATAGATCAAACAAATTTATGAACACTTGAAATTTGACAGATTAGATAATGCATTGCATGATTCACTATATCCAAGAATTGAAGTCCATTTTTTTTTATCCATATATCTCGAGATCAAGATGATTGGATTTCAAGTTTTTTTGGCATCGAAACAACCTCTTCTGGTGAATTTTTGAGTTGCGCATTTGCTTATCTTAATTTTGAAATTTTAAATTTTATGATTAGAGATCAAAATAAATTTTTAAATTCATTACAGATATTTTTTATACTGAAAGGACATCTTTCAATACTATTAAAAAGTGCGGTCTTACTTTGATTGTTTAGAGCCTCAACCTAATTAGGGGGTTTTGCTCCCTTTCTTTGAAAAAGAAAAAAAGGTAACAAGCAAACCCAGATAACTTCAGGGGTAAAAGTGGAAACCTGAAAAACGGCGGTACATAGGCGTGGAAAAGAGTAGCGAAACATTTGAACAGTGACCATGGAAAATAATTCTCTCTAATACCATAGATTTTGCCTTTCAGCCGTTGAATCATACCTTCAATGGAGATAACCATCGGAGCATATGTTATCACGGTCTTTAATAATAATCCAACTTCTCAAGTACATTACAGTACATCCTCAATATTTACGTGGATTTTTTTATTTTTTAAGTTTTCGGCATCACCACTCCTCTATATTTTAGTGTTATCTTTTAAAATTTGAGTTTTTTACAATATTCTTGCTACTTATTTAATTAATTAAAATTTTTCAGTTGGGTGTTGTACTTGGGGTGTCCATTTGGAGAAACCAGAGAGGAACGGCCCCTATAATATTGTAATCTTTATTTATCAAAGAAAAATATATTCTTGTAACCTTTCAATCTTTTATTCTATTCAATTATAATTTTTTATATATTTTGGGTTGAACCCATTGGTGAATGCCTCGTGGCTGTCACATAAAAATTTAAATATTATAGTAAACCTATATTTTACATTATAATAGAAAACGTTAAAACAAGGCTGGGCCCTTGGGGGGGGGGGAAAATAAAAAGATTAAGCCGCCCCTTAGGTTTGGGAGAGGTTTCTATTCTTCACCTAGGAAGAGATATACTTTCGCCCCCATCTAGCCGTTCAATTTTGATTAAGTGAGTCACTAAATGTTGATCTAAATCCAACACTTTAGAGTTTTTTATTTTTATTTTTTTATAAATTATTTGAATATAAAATTTGATACGTGTCATCATATCAATGGGGTGCACCTAAAAATAATATAAAAACAATATTTCGATAAAAAATAATGACCACAATACCCCTATAACTTTTAGGTGTATTTTGATCATTTTATTTTTTAAAAATATTTGTTTTATATTTTTTACTGGTGCCAATTTAAGAGAGGGGTGGACGCCCAAAATTCGGTGTCAAAACCTTTTGTAGAAAAAAAAAGGTAAAACGTACAAGTTAGACCGTATTTCTACAATATGTGGTCTAGATGTACAAAGCATCTATCTTACAGATGGATGCAAATAGGTAGTCCAGCTAAAAACAATTGTAACTAACTGTTCAAATTTTTTTAATGTAATTATTATTTTTAATTAAAAAAAAAATCATATTCATGATATCCATGTTAAAGATTATATACTCTCAAAAATTTAGGATTAAATTAAATTTAAATAATATTTATTGCCAAGCCCTCATTTCTACATGTACAGGCTTGGCCACATGCTAACCGCGTCCAAAATAAAATAGTGTTGGGGCCATCTCAGTCATCCATTCATAATGAACTGTTGGATAGGGGGCAGTATATATAGAAATTTAGAATAGTGATCATCTCGATCTCAATAATTTTGATTTTAAAATAAAATATAAAAAAATTCAAGGCCTCTAGACCCTCCATTTTTAAGTCTTCACAAATCCGCTAGGTCTGCGCCATTATTTGATTTTCTTAATTTTCAAGTTTCTTAATGAGAAGAGTAAAAAAAAAAAATTATGTCATCATATTGTTGTCAAACATAGTAATCTGGATTAAGGATCGCTGATCGGGGTGCATGGGAATGCAATCTAGGTTCCCCTTTAGAAGCGCCCGAAATTAATTTCGCACAAATTTGTTTTCGATTCTTAACTTAATTGCCTATCTAGCCAATCTGAATTGGTAGGACGAGTGCGTGATCCAACCACTCGCGCGAGAGGTGGCAAAGGGTTGGGTCGGGCCTAGCCGGACCTGCTTGCAGACCCAAAAAATACATGGGACTTGGATCCGACCGGACCTGAAAAAATAGTGTGGGATTCGGATCTGATCAGACCTGACCCAAAAATTAAAATATCTATATATTTAACTATATTTAAATATATATCATATATTAGGGCCCGAAAAATATTACCAGACATAGACCCAGACCCTACTACATCCACACCCGTACCCTAATAGTGTTTGGGTCCAAGATTTGGACCTGGACATTTGTATCGAGACACAACCCACTGGGTCCAATTTTTTGACCAAGACCCTGATCGGGCCTACCCCTCAGGTCCCAGGTTGGGTTCGAGTCCATTGCCACCCTTGACCAAAGCCGGGTTTTAAGATATTAGATAGGTCATTGTAAGGTCTTTTACTCAAAAATTGCATATAGAATTTCAAGGTGCAACTTTACTTTAACCTTTTTCCAAAAAGACATGTGTCGTATGTGTGGATTGTATGATATGAGATTATATATTTTTTGTACAAAAATGTCACAATTATCCTTAGCTATTGATATGAAATTTGATGGCTCAAAGTGTCATGTAGTTCGAAAAAATTTATTTTGAACCTTATGCCTAGTCAATGATACATCGCGAATCACCTGATTTTATATCTAATGACCGATAATAATTGTGACATCCTTGTATTAAAGATAAATGGTCTTATTATATATATTCCCATTATATAAACTTCATCCTTTTTTATGACATGCAAATTTATCAATATATCCATAAGAGATGAACTAATTAATAATCTATTATTGTATTTTTTTTTACTCATTAAAGGGTACAAGATCATGAGATAGAATAAGTACAAATGAGTTAAATACTAAATAATTCATCTCTTATATGCATTTTGATTATTTTTGTTTGTAATATAATAATTTTAATGCGCTTATCATCAACAACAACAACAACAATAATAATAATAACAATTGAGAAGTGTGGGTTGAAAATTGGAACACAAACGGCTCCGAGAACATCATTTATTTTGAAGAAACAAAAAGAAGCTCCTCTGTAATGCCTATGTTTAATGGGGACATCTCTTTGTTGGGTGTGGCAATGTGTCGGTTGACCCCGATCCAACTAGTTCTAAGTTGGGGTTGCGCTTGGGTCAGGATAGGTCTGGATCTATACATAAAAAATATTAATATATTATACTATGGAAGATACTACAAAACGTCTATAGGTGAAAATGAATAGTGAATTTTTCTACCCTCATCACCATCCAAATTTCATCGCACGGTCACAGTTGTCCAGTAGTGTTTTCAATTGTCATTTTTTTTACTAATTAGAATTATCTGAAATTTGGAGCATGTGTACATCTTAGTGAGACATACTTAATAAAAATATGAAAAATATAATTCACAAAAAATAATTTGACCAAAATACCCTCATAACTTTTTGGGGTATTTTGGTTAATTTATATTTTACGAATTATTTTTTCATATTTTTATTAGATGCGTCTCACTAATATATACACACGCCTAGAATTTCAAGTAATTTTGATTCGTAGAAAAAAAAAATGAAAATTGAAACACTACCAGACAACTGTGATCCTACGATGAAGTTTGGATGGTTGTAGGCAAAATCACTATTTATTTTCGTCTATAGACGTTAGGAAGACTTTTCCTTATATTATATAGTTGATATTTTGTATGTATATTTTATGCTACCTGATCTGATAGGATCCAAGTTGAACCTGGACACGAACTTAAACTAGGTATAATGGTTCCTTGGGGCGCAACTTAAATGATCGACAAATTTATTACAAGGATGATAATTTAAAAGCCACAATGCACAATGGGGCAACCAATGGCTCATTTAGGGTCTATAATGTGTCGTGTGTTGTGACCCAAGCAATTTAAATATTATATATCAAAAACAAAAATTTGCCAAACTTGGATTTAACTAAATTAAACGATGATGGGGATGGAGAGTGAAAGAGATTTAATGAGTAGAGAGTAAGGCACGGGAAGGGTGGTTTAGTTTTTTAAATATTTACTTTTTAACTGAGGGGTAAGCAAGAAAAAATAGTATGACTAAATATTGTTCATGAACATTGAATGAGCTATTTTACTCATAAATTATAAATATTGTTAGGTTTGTAGTTCAAAGAGTAAAATTTTTAACATATTTAAAAAAAATTATGTTGTGAAATGGTAAAATATTTTTAAATTTTAGCATTGCGGCACTGGAGCAGATTGAAAAACTACAGCTCAAATCTAGTAAGTAATTTATTACTTCTTTGTATATAT